CCCCCGCCCCCTGTGTCCCTCTGGGATCCTTAGGGGTGCTTTAAAGCGCTTCCAAAAAAAAAAAAAAAAAAAAAAAAGATTTTTTTTCTCATGTTGTTAAGTGCATTTTGAATGTTTTCACTTTTTTTTTTTTTTACAACGTCACTCTTTCAGATATTTTGTTGAACTATTGTCTGACAAAAAAAAAATAAAGTATTGCACAACTGTGGCATAGTAGGAAAAAGGACAAATGGTTTTTCCCATTTTTAACAGATACCTTCTGAAAAGCTTGAGATGTTTGAGTGAATTATAAGCCAAGGGGGGGCTTGATGGTGAACGGCACAAAAAAATAAACTGTAACTAACTACCTTTATTGACTTGGATTTTTAGATGAAAATTAGGATCAGATTTTTACTAAGGCATTCGAACACAAATATTATCATCACACATTTTTTATCTTTATTTTCATCAAACCATGTGTTTTTCATACAATCACAATAAAACAGACAAAAGCACTACAGTAGCTCCGAGTATACATATTTTTTGTGCGTGAGAATCAGAAAATTTGTGTTTACCATTGAGGAAATTGCGCTGGTTCTCCAGAATCTGGCTGACCTGGTGGACCCAGGCCTGACTGACCCCGGGGCTGGAGGAGTGGAGGGTGAACCTTTCCAGGTTACCGCTGGATGACCTGGAGATCAACGTAAACTTACAGGGGTCATCTGAATTTTCCTCCAGACCCAAGCAGCTCACCTGCAAAGAAAAGAAAAATCCAGTCCGGTTAGGTTACCCAGGTTATCTATATATATCTATATATCTATATATCTATATATATATATACACACTTAAAAAAAATAAATAAAAAAACAAATAACTTTCTGTGGCTCTGTGATTTTACTGAGCTGAACTCACCTTGATGCTATTTTTGAAGAGGTAGCCTGGCGTAGAGAAGCCCTTCTTTTTGTCCAGAGGCTCACTGAATATAACTATCTGCTCAAACAGAAACACTCGCCTCTCTTTCATTCTGGACAGGAGGCCTCCATCTTGGTCTGAGACCATGAAGGTGTCCTGCAGGAGCAGTCTGCCCTGAGCTACAATTTTACCCTAAGAAAAAAGGAAGGAAAAAAAGCACCAGAATCATAAAAAAGTGTCAAGTAAAGCAGAACTACACTTAGGAAGAAACAACAGCTTCATCTGAAACGCCGCCAACACTTCTTATTAAAATAAATGGTCTCACACTGACACCTGGTGGCAATGGACTTACTTCAAGTAATTTATAATGGGCCACGGATTTACTGTAATATATTGGCAAACTTTTACATTATTGATTACTATAGAGAAACTGTGAGCTAATAAGTAGCAAACTTACGTCGAAACCCTGAAGGCGTCCAACATTCATCATGTCATTGCAGCGTTTTGGGACCACACACATCACTTCTACAGCTTTCTAAAACAGGAGGAATGCACACTTTTAAGACAAAGCGCTTGCACAAGAGTCAAGAAGAAATGTAGTTGATTACAGAAATGTTGGCATGATGGGAGATCAGTTTCTGGCTTTGTACTGAGCGCTGTACCTCCAGCTCTGTCGTATCCGCTCCTGCTTTTTTGGAAACTTTGAGAAGATCCTGTTGGGGTGAAGAAACATACAGATCAATGCCATTTGTGCTGTTTAATTATGCACCGATAACATAAGGAGGTTTTTGCAGTACCTTCAGGAGTAGCTGGTACTTCATAATCCGTTGAACTGGTTTGATTAGCAGGTCTGTGATCTGTAATCTGTGACCCAATCGCTGCTTAAGGTCCTGGGCAAAGATATAAATATGTCACATTCATGGACCAGACATCAACTAGACGACATGGGTAAAGAGCTACAGGCAGAAAGTTCACAAAATGTTTTACCTCAAAGTAAGTGTCGATATATTCTGACACAATGTGCTCAGATTTAGGCTTGTTCTGACAGTACACGATGTACATGTGCAGCCTCCGCTCCTGGAATCAAGAAAAGAGCAAAATAAAATGTTATTTTATGTAAAAAAACAAATAAAAAAAAAACATTTATCAAATAATGTTCATGGAAGACAGAAGCTTGTTTCTTTTAACCTGTTTGACAAATAAAGGAGCTAGCCGTTCAGGATCCTCCAAGCACTTTTCAAGCTCTCCCAGGAAAAAACTGTGGATATATAAAGAGATAAAACAAAACTATTGATTTTACACAACAAGATGCATCATATTGACAATCCTTTTTGTGTTTTTCTTTTCGTTTTGTTGTGTAAGCCGTCCTGCTGTAGCATGCAGGGTGGGTTAACCGGAAAAAGGCCGTGCACGTACTCTTTGTGCCAGTCGTAGATCTGATGGATGTTTCCAAAGACCATCTTATCTTTCCCCCTCATGTCATCCGGAACTCCTTCCTCTTTCATCCTGCTCATGTAGCCCTGTGGATAGGAAAGCAAACACGTCTGCAAAACCAACAAGAAACGTTGATCGATTACCTGACTGTAGATTTTTGTGTGGTTTTACCTCCACTACAGAGCCCAGGTCTCTGACATAGTCTCTCTCAGTCTCCACCAACTCCAGAAGCACATAGCTGAGCAGGAGAAAAGCGAAAATGTTACCGTTTCAAAAAAAATTCAAGTATGAACGCCAATAATGCTCCGGGACTCTGCGATGTAGTTGTTCCTCTCAAAAGTTTTACATTTTCTCACCATACAGCCACTAAATTCAGTGTATATTTTCAGAGTTTTATACGTAAATCTGGAGACCCATCGTTTGTTACTGGATTATCCAGCATTTAGTCTCATTTATCTCTCTGTCAGCTGTGACAGAGAGATCCCTTTACCTGCTACCAAACACATAATTTCCCATGTAGGCAAAAGGTCTAGTTTTGGCCTCGTTTGATGAGAATACCTTGTCTGTCATCTCTTACATGACTGGAATCCAAATGTAAATAAACTAGTTATTTTTTGCTCCTTTGGCATTTGTTATTTTTGCTCTTTCTTGTCATTATTCTGTAAAAAACAGAACTGGAATGCTTTTATGAGCGTTTCCCACTCTAGCTGTGGATCCCGGGGTAAGACCATTTGTTCACTAATGTTCTCTGACAAACCTCTCAAGCTTTCACATATCAGCTACATTTATACTGAGATTAAACAATATACAGGTGGATTCTTACTTGCAAATTGGAGAGAACTGGTTGCATTGGAATTTATTTAAAAATGTCAAAGTAAGGGGTTAAGAATACAATGTCAAGCTATATTTATGTACTACTCGTGTTGCGTATTATATTAATTTAAAAGGCCACTGCATTAACATGTATGTTAATGTAGTGGTTCAAATATGACAAAATGAAAAAAATTGAGGAAGCTATGAGTATCTCTACAAGCCACTGATTAGCCTCATGCAAATGAGGTCAAATTCCACCCTAAGCGTTCATGGGGAAAAAAAAAAAAAAGCTTGTAACTCACTGTCTCCTTTTGAGGAAGTTGGTTTTTCGCTCGTCCATCTCGTCGATGGGCGAGGAGGAGGAGAGCAGAGAGTTATCGGAGGGGTTGAGAGAGGGTGAGCTGCTGTCGCCTTGCTCCACTGACAGAGAACTGGGACGGTCCTCCAGGGACTGCGCAAGAACAGAAAAGACAAATTGAAGATACAAAATGAGTGAGAAAAAAAAAAGACACGTACAACAAGTTTTAACTTGTTTTCCATCAACATGAAAGATTTGCTGGATGTAGGACAGTGGCCACGAGTGTCTTAGGGACTAGTGCCCATTGGTTGGAACAGAGGACAGCTGGCACAGTTAGTCAGAGTTTTGACAGATGACAAGTAGGCTTGGATGTCATTCTGCATCACTGACACCAGGAAAAAAAAAAGTGTGTTCTTTCGTGCACATCTATCAGAATTGTTTTGTGTACATGTGTGCCAGATTTACAAGTACTAGTGGGTGTTGTTGACAACTTTGGACTCACCATCTTGCTTTTCACCAGCTCCTCGATGGCACTGACCAACTCTGCGGCACTCGGTGTCTCCGAACTGCTGGGACGAGCAGACAGCCGAGATGCAGACTGAAAGGCAGAGCGGGTAGAAGGAATAAAGTAAACGGCTCAAGGCGAATACATAGGTCGCGATCGGTACGTCTAAAATGCCGCTTTGCATCTAGAAGGCATCTAGAAACTGGGAAACGTTTGGGCTGGCTGCTCACATGTGAAAACCGAACTCTTTTTTTTTTTAAATAAGAAGTGAATGCTTCTTGAAATCATAAAACACATTTGCAGTCTTATAATTGTGCATGCATATGTTCATTCTAGATGATCATCACTGCGAACGCTGATCAGGCTCACCATTCTGGTGTTTGGACCTCGATATTCCACATGTCCACAAAAAGAACTGCTTGCGTGTGGTTTTATCCTAATGACATGATTACTTAAAGGCCAACCGGGAGTCAATCACAGGGTGGTCTCATGGAAAAAGGGATCATTACGTGGGTATAGGTCAGGGCAATTTTAAGGAGCAGAGTGCTTATAATTAAGTGCACGTGCAGTGACTGGTCAGACAACTCATTTATAGCGAGCAATGTTGCTTAATACTCCATTAGACAGTTTGCCTCTGCAACAGAGCTTAGAGAAAAATGAGAAAGGGGATGATTAAAGCAGAAAGGATCATTTGGGCATAACTATTAACTCTCAGTAATACCTTGCTTCTGCAGACACAAGTAAATGGAGTATTGTCAATTAACAACAACAACAACATTACATTCCAAAGGAGAGAAGCATAGAGAGAGAAAAGAAAAAAAACAGGAGCTAAATAATGAAAAAAAGACTATTAAGTGCAATTACATGGAAAGATGTGGAAACTGGGACAGGAGAGAGGCTGAACAGAAATCAACATAATGCTGAAGGAGCAAACATGCAGCCATTAGGAAAATAAGAGCAAAAAGAGAAAAAAAAATATTAGTGCAAATTTAAGGTTTTAGGTGGTGCAGAATTTTGTTAGTTCTGAGTTGATGGAAAGTGAGACAGTTCTACAAAATTCTCCCAACATGAGTTTAAAATATGATTATATAGATCATCTTTTTCAGAAGAAACTGGCCATTTTTGGAGTAATATCCCTTACTATAACTCTATACAGTGCTGTGAAAATGTATTTGTCCCTTTCCCTATCCATCTATCCATCTACTTTGGGCAAGAGGGGGGTATGCTCTGAACAGATTGCCATGTTGCAATACACAGAGACACAGGGAAATAACAACATACACACACCAATACCTAAGAGCAATTTAAAGAGACCAATTAACCTTTTTTGGTGGAGTACCTGGAGAGAACCCATGTGTGAATGGGGAGAACACGTAAAGAGGCTGTCCAAAAAATCTGCTTGTTTGCAATAATCTACTAGGGCACACTTATTTGTTCGCATTGAATCAAGTAGCTCTGGATAGAATTTGAAACATTAAATGTAACCAATAAAGCAAAAGCTGAACAACTTTGTAAGGAAACAAAATACTTTTTTACATCACCACACTTTGGCACATATCTTTAACAGCTGCCTTCCTACTTAACAAGAAACACTGGCATTTATGAGGCATCTGTATGATAACATGAAACAATAAACAGAAGACTAAGGGAACTGAAGTGCAAACACAGAAAGAAATATTCCTTTTATTTGTTATAATGTCCTACAACAAATGATAAATTAACAGAGAAAGAGATAAGCAAAATAATCCACCTTATCATCTTGGGAGTCAGGCTGCAGTAAGCTATGCTGCTGGATTGCCATAGGGGGCGGTAGAGGGACAGCGTCGGCCCCCTCCTCTCCTTCCTCCTCGCCACAGCTCTGCATACCTGATGAGGAAGACTTGGAAAGGGTGCCACTGCTCAGCCCTTCGTTGCGCATCCGCTGGAGAAAGAGATTGAACAAATGGGAGACTTCGTACTCTGCCAGGTCTACTGACAGTTTCACAGCATCTGTTCTTACCTCCTCCAGGGTCTCATCTTGTGGCGTGGCGGCGCTGTCGTCAGAGTCTTTCTGCGAGCCAGGTATCGCGTCCATGTTCTTTCTCGTGCCGTCGCGATTTTTCTTGTGCTTGTGGGCGAGTTTCTTCACGTGTCCGTCAGCTTTCCCGGAGCTCAGCCTTCGCACCGGGCTGGTAAGCCACTTTCTCAAGGTGTTCCCCGGACGTTTGGGGCCAGGGGAGCTATGGGGTCCGAGAGTGTGGCTGGACCCAGGCTGCAAGGCGTCGTTGCTGGATACAGACAATGTGTCTAAATGTAAGGGAGAGGTAGGTAGGGGGTAAGAGAAGAGATTATTAATTCAACTGGCGACAACACAAGCAATGCGAAGAGCAACCAACGCTAAATCATCTAAAACGGTCAAACATCTGTTATTGTTTTGCAACCAGTAAATGCATCATTTTAAGAGCTTCGAGGTCATATTGACAACAACACAATCTGGCAATGCAACAAGAAGTTGGGTGGAAGTATTTTGTCAAGACATGTCTGCTTCAATCAAGTTGTGTGACATTTAGAGAGAGCAAAACAACAGGCGAGTGACAGGAGGGCTGAGCAGAGTACGTTGCCTCATAACAGTTTTTTTCTTTCCCCCCAACTTTCACTTTGTGATGAAATATTTTGGACATGGACATTTTGGTAGGTTTTTTTTTGGAAATCTCAGAGTAAAAGATCATTCTACATTCTTTGAGGGATACAGATCAAGAGTACAGTTTTGGCAATGTTAGCCTTGCTATTATTGCTAATTGCTAATATACTAAAGCTGGGTCAGAAGGTAATCTTTAGAATTTTACTCCTTAAAACCCTGCTGAATGACGACTGCTTTCTGACACAGGACAGGTGAAAGTTTTCCAAAAAAGCGCAGACTTTAAATGAGCCACAAAATGGCGAACTGCATGTCTGCAATGAGCCCAGAAAAGTCAAAGACGTGAAATCAAAATATTACCAAATTTCAATTTTTGTCTGTTATTTTAGAGGCAATACATTCAATTCAGTTTAAAAATCCGGAAGTTTAGGTATTTCATTGAAAAGTTAAGGAGAAAATAGAAGAAAGGTCAACACAAGACTGAGATTACTGGCGCGAATTTGTGTGCTTATTGTTCAGTAGGCAGGCGAGCCACCTCCACACAGTGATGACGCTCCTTGGGGAATCTGTAGGAGGAAAAAATCTTCATCGAAGAGAAACGCAACGAGGAAATGAAACAGGATAAAGAGAGGCTTCAGGCTTTGAATGAGTAAAGTTATATTCTTCTGTGTATTTTATTCACCTATAATCTTTTCCTTTAGTTTTTCAGGAGATCATCCTATTTCATTCATGTTGAAAATCATTTGTTAGAAGCTTCATAAAAAAAAAAAAAAGTATGAATGTTACTGGAAACCACCCAAAAATCGGATTATAGATTGCAGCCTTTGGCATCGCCATCACTTAGCCGTTTCATGGATGCAGATGCAGCTGTTAAACATTAATTCAAGTGACTCACTTGAGCAACACTTATGAATGGCAGGTGTGTGTGTGTGTGTGTGTGTGTGTGTGTGTGTGTGTGTGTGTGTGTGTGTGGAGACTCTGCCTGTTCTCACACAGCCTGAGAAAATGCGACTGTGCTACATGTAAACGTGCGTGCCAGCGGTTGAGCCTCTGGAAGACTTTTACTGCTCTCCGTTTATAGGAAGCATGTGTTCACGCTTACCATGCGAGCGAAGAAAACAATGTAATTCCCAGAAACGCTGACACTTCGGGCATTGTGAAGAAACCATTAAAGTCGTGTCCACTGACGTGATTAGCGTGACTGAATAAAATCGCTGCCTTTGGACAATGTGAGCGTCCGATTTAAGATTATATGATGGATTCGTCATGACGGAGCACAATAAAATGTCAATTTGTACCTTATTTCGATTCAATAATTATTTTTCCACAGAAACACATAAACACGTATTTCAGTCCTCCTCTCCTCTTGACTCTAGCAATCTATTTCAGGACAACAATAAAGTGAAGGAGATATGTTTGGCTTGCTTGAAAGAAAACCGACGCAAAATTATGTTATTAGATTTTAGAGTTGATGTGATGTATGCCTGCCTACAACCACAGAGTGTTTCCAATACCCACATACTCTGTAGTTATTCCTTTGTGATCAGGAACATGAAATTAGTCAAAACAAAAAAGTATTTTTTAACTTGCTATTCAGTCCCAGGATTATGTCTTCAGTTACCAGTTTGGAAAGTTTTATTCGGCCACCCGTACTTGTGATTTCCAAACTGCTTCATCAAACCAGATTATTATTTATAGCATCTCCAATCTGCTATTAACAACTGATCACTGCTCTGTTCTGTTAGCATGTGTGGCAGGCTGATGAATGAACTCAAAAATAAAACCTAAATCCTCCAATAGATTGTGCAGATAAGTTGCCCTTAATTGAACTCTGGACTGCTGTGATGAAACAGCCTAGACCGTTGCAATTTTACCATCTTTAATGCTCTTTATGGAGAAGTGAAACACTGTCATATGACTAATCAAACCAATGGGGATGTATTCTGATGTCTGAAAGGGAAGGGGGAGTGTGGTTTCCAATCATGAGAAAGTTCTCAAGCCACCAGGAGTGAAAAGCATGAGCAGAAAAACTTTTTAGAAGAATTAATTTTGAACCTCTAATAATGTTGCATTTTTGTAAAATAACGTTGGCTTAGAAAGCTAAACAAACATACCAAACTGCACAGTTACAATTTTTTATGCATGTCCAAAGAAGGCATGATCTGGTATGAGAATGTGTTATGGCTCAATATTCTTAAAATACCACAGTTTCACAGTTTTTGCAAAAAAAAAAAAAAAAGGAAAATGACATTTCTAATATGCTGCAATTTGTTTTAAATTTAAAACTTAAAACCCTATTTAGAAAACCCAGCTATGCAAAGCAAAAGAAAACTTGTGCTTTTCAAGAGTACAAGCCAGGGGAAGTATGCATCAGTCAGGCCTCTCATGTATAGCTAACAGACCGTGTTTCCTGCAGACATGCTGCGCTCACACGGGAACATGTAGCCACAGTTAACAAGTAAATTTAACATGTGTTACTGTGCAACGAAAGGTTTAGAAAGCATAGAATTGCAGGAAGGGAGTGCTGCACCAATAACTGTCTTTAAATTCTAGATATTGTGATCATAAAAAAAATAACAATCAGACGACTTTTACCCGGCTCTAAGTGTGGTTCTGTTCACTTTAAAGAGTAAAACAGCGTAGAAATCAATAACTTGCACCGCATGTTGCATGTTTAAAATGCTCAAGTCCCAACTAAACGAGCACTTATTGGTTGTGATGAGTTAGCAGGGTCCTCTAAGAAAGATGCAAATGGGTACAACATGGAGTCAGCAGCCTTGACACATTTCTCTTTGGAGAGTCATAACTCTTCAGACACATGAAGATGGTCGAATGGGAGCCCTTTCCCCCTGCATGGACTCTCTTTCACTCTGGAGAAACCTCAAGGACAACTAGTCCTGACCTTATGTGCGGGAACCCCCTCCTCACCTCGCAGTCCAAATCTCACAATTCCAGCACGTCCAGCTGTGTTCAAGACGGCCAACAGATGTAATATCTGAGACAAATCCTAGGTCTGTCCACAATTCTCCTACCAGTGATACATGCTCAGACAATCTTTCCTGGAAAGCCCTAAGGAGCTCTTGCGGGATGTGCAAACGGCCTTACATGACTCTCCTAAAGACGAAGGTAGTCAGAGGCCCAGATCAATGTTGCAATGTTATTTCAGCTGCTTGTCTCACAGTAATCCTCTAGCTTCACGTTTTTGCTATCTGAGATTGGAAAATGCATGTGTGTCCTCCAGATTCACCTCAAATCCTACGCCCTTCCAATATCCTGAACAAACAAACAACGCGCCTGCATCAACTAGCATTTCATTCAGCTTCAGAGTTCTGGTGACGAAAAACATGTATTCCTTTCAGGTGTCTTGGAGAGAGAGGGATGCATCTAAAAGTCGCAGGATACAGTAGATTCTGGAGGGACAGGAGTTGAGCTCCCCTGCTTTACAAAATGTCCTAAAATGCTTTTTAATCTTCTAATATCCTCCTGTTTTCATTAGGGAAGAGCCGTCCTTGTCTACTTTGCTTCCTGTTTAATTCATCAGCAAACTCATTTGAGCATTAAACTGCTGATGCGACTGGGACAGCTTTAGCTGCAGGACTATCGATGCATATCTGCACTGAGCAGAAACACGGTGAACAATGCAAACCTATCAAATGTGCATACACAAGCAACAGCACGTCCCATGCAACCCAAATTATCAGCAGATATCAAACTTCATAAAAACTATCCTCAAGTCTGTCTACCACTTAAAACCTATTTTTTTGAAGACATATTGGAAATGCACTAAACTGTGTTCATGTAATGTCCAACACAACACTGTGCATAATTGTGAAGTGGAGGGAAAACATTATGAGGTTTGCAAAATGTTATAAACATTTCAATCCTCCTTGATCTAATTACCTCCTAATAAAGCGTGGAGCACTAAGTTGCTTTCAGAAGTTACCTAATTACTAAATAAAGTTAACCTGTGAATAATTTAATCTCGTCATAAACAGCTAATCCGTCAAGGCTCCACAGGTTTGTCAGAGAACAATGGCGATCATACAGCATCAAGAAACATGCCAGACAGGTCAAGAATAAAGTCGACTACCTATCGCAGGATTAGGTACATAAACAATGTCATCACCCCAAACTGAAGCAACCAAGACACCCATGACAATTCTGGAAGACCAGATCCACAGCTAAGAGTCTGAATTTTTCAACGGCATAGCTATTTTTTGTTACCTCAACAAAACTGACCTTCACTGGCGAAGAAGAGAAGAAAAGTAATGCTAAGAGAAAGACAGAAGAAGTCATGTCTGCACTTTGCCAAGAGTCATTGAAGAAAAACATGTAGAAGAAGGTGCTGTGGTCAGATTAGACCAAAAAATTAAATGTTTTGGCCAACATGCAGAATGAATTGTGTGGTGGAAAACTTAAAAAAAATAAATAAAAATAAATAAAATAAAATAAAAAATCCCTCCACTTAAAACACGGCAGTGGCAGCAACCTACTTGCTTTTCTTCAGAAGTTTTGTGATGGCCTAAAGCAAATAATATTCGAGAAAGCTCAAAATAAGTTTGCGACCAAAATCTGAACAAGTTCACTGAACAAGTGGCAGCGCAGGCCACCGCAAAGAACTTTGCAGGTTTACAAGGTTTGCACTAAGAATACGAGTGGGGCTGCATGTGGGGGTCGAACATACAACTGCAGTGATTAAAAAGGTCTGTGCAGCAACACGGAAGCATGCCTGGGATTCCAGAGGTCTCTCCAGGAGAGCGTTTTTTGGGTGGTCTTATCTTCCGCAGGAGAATTGATGCAAAAACACACGGCTGGAAGATGTGGTTAAGGACCTGCCTTCGGGGGAAGAGGTACAACGTGTGGGAAAGCGCTGGGAGACTTGACATGCTTATCTGTAAACACATGGAGAAGGCTTTAGAGGGCTTCCCACGGCAGTATTCATGGAGCACAGAATCAATCAGAACTGGATTTTGTTTAGCTTTCATTGTATACATCTGACATCTGCGGAGCACTTGAGAAAAAACTACATCCTAAAAGCCTCGTTCTCTTTTTGCTCTTATATTTTTCTTTCTTGCTGGGGTTTACAGTAAGATCCACAGCCCATCTGTGCAGAGCCTGTGTGTGTGTGTGTGTGTGAGCCCACACACACGCGCGCGCAAACACACAGTAACATAATCTAGTGATAGAGATTGCAGCAGATTTAAAGCCGCATCACATAATAATGCATCGTCTAAATTAATTTCAGCGCCACAATGCCACCTGATCCAGAGATGAACTTTAAAATGACTGAATAAGAAAGATGCACGAGAAGCATAACACAAAAAAACTAGCTGTTTCACACACATTAAAGCTTCCTTTCCCACACGTAGAACTTTTGAGATGAAAGGATACATTTTTGCAGCCTGGCTCATATTTTTCTTTCAACAAGAACAGCTTATCATTTATTAGACTCGGCTTCTATTGTGACAAACAACCCCGTTTTTAAATGCCACGATTACGTACTCCAAATGAATACGAATGAAAGCTTCGATGAGAGAGACTGACATTTACACGTGTCCTCCTAGAAAATAACGTTTCTTCCCTCATGTGTCACGCATGATGGAAGCACCTACCCAGATCCAGCAGCCAGAACTTGCAGCTGTCTGAGGGGTCTTCCCCTGATAAATCCATTGAGAAAAACGGGCTCAAAGACACCAAGGACTCGATCCCACGGGCCATGTTCGCTTAGTATATAAGCCTCTTGACTCCCGACTTATTCTGTTAAAGCATTTCCACACGTATGAGAGTTTTTACGAGGAAGAAGAAGGAAAAAAAAATAATCAGCCTAACCTAATCCGAACTGCTTTGGAAAAGGTCTTGTAATTAAATAAATGCTGCCGATATTCCACAGAGAGAAAGTGAGAAGTCCAGTGTGAGGCGAAAAGAGAAGTCAAATGCTGCATTATAGTGTAGGATGTTATCCTCTCCCTTTCTTTGTATCTTCTTTTCCTCCCTCCCTCCCTAGCGAGTGGGCTGCTGTGAGGATATCTCCTGTTCCAAAGGGACGTCTGGAAACATGCAGCTCATCTACCGTATTACCCTTTGTAGAAGCGCCCACATGAGCCGTGTGGGCGGGTGCATATTTTACAGGCATTAGGATGCATACAAGTTGTGCAGTATGCTTGGAATAAATATAGACCCTGTTATGAAATCCATCTGAAGTGAACAGGAAAAAAAAGGGTTAATCAGCAAATATGGAGGTGAGACACACAAAGATGCCTCAGTGAAGCTAAATGGGAGCCATAGGCAGCTTCATGGCTACCAACAGTGAGGATATAATTAATATGTGTATGATTGTCAGCAAGTATATAAAAAAAAAAAAAATAGAAAGAACACTAACTGCTCTGAAGACTGATGCCTCTGTGTGGGCGCTTCACTAGTTTGTAAAAAAAAAAAAAAAGTTAACAGACAGAGAGGATGAAAACGGAAAGATTCCTGGACAACAGTCTGATTTCCTGAACAGTCACTTTCTCAAGACTTGGGAAAAAAAAAGAAGAAAAAACTTAATTACTGATCATTAAAAAAGAAAGAAGATGAGAAAATAGCAAAGATGTTTTCCTCATTTTTTTTGTCCACCTCCTACACAGAGGCATTTTTTTTTTTTTTACTAGAACAACCCCTGCAGGGAGAGCCTCCTTTTCATTACTTTCTCCGGTCACATGAAAAACAACACAAACTGAATGTGAGGGTGCAGTCAAGGAATCAAAAACACGACAGGACAAAGGAACCTAACAGCCGGAGTCGAAAGTGTTCAATAAGTGTTTGGGAAATTCGTCCCTATTTTCTACTGGACTCTTGTAGTAAATCATTCAGCTAACTCCAAACTCCGGGCAAGTTGTCATTTAAATACAAATGCAGACTTTTCTTCTACCAAGTACAAGGAGGCTGCATGCCAAATATTTCTATGCTTTATCTCCATAGAAACAAGCAGCCCAGCTCTCACCCACTCTTCCAGATTCCAAAAACCAAAGTGCACATTTAGAAGATAAGACAGCAACCATCTTACATTTTGGTCTCTTTTGTTGTTGTCATCGTTGTTTAATTTAATCAGTCTTCAGGCAAATGATTTCAAGAGTTCAGTTGACAGGTAAAAGACTAGTATACGTAACTAGAAGTACAAGCAAGTATGCTATTGTAGAAGCTGGAGATAATACTATCAATTTTGTGCAAAACGTTTACTGAGTAAAGATGTCTCAAAGTTAGCCATTTTCAGAATCAACAAGGTGCTTAAAATACAATCTGAGAACTCAGATATAGGAGAAAATATATAATAGGGAATATATATATTCAATATCGGATTTTTTTTCCCCCTCAGGCAAGACTTAGCAGATCGCACGAAGGCAGAATTACAACAAAATTGCTCTGCTTTATCCTCTTACAGTTTCTACCTTTGTCAAGACGCATGCTAAAGTTAAAAAATGTCCACAGCCTTTGGAAAATCTGAGCTTTAAGGTTCTTAAGAAAATACACAAGGCCACTACTGTTTTAGTAATGCTAACTGTGCTAATCGCTAATATATGACGATGAAGTCAACTCAATGTCTACTAGATGATTTTTACAAAACGTTGCTTACAGCGAAAGAAAGCTCGCCACGGGAAGGCTTTTTTTTTTTTTTTTTAAACTGTTCTTAAATAACCTCACAGCTAGTAAGACATCAGAATTGATACCGGCAGTCAAAACTTTACACAAAACTGAAATTAACCACAAAAAAAATTGATTGGTTCAGCTCAACTGGAGACCATTCCTCAAGAGTCCGAAACCAACACCTACATGACCAAAAGAAGAACATTCCGCACAACGCCATGAAATGGATCAGACGGGGCTTTCTAGTCTCTCAGCGAATCGCAGGATTGCAAGAAAGCAGATGGCACCGGATGATATCATTGCACTGACCCACAAAAAGCTGAAACTGAGCTGTCCCTGAGGACAAAGAAGCAGCACGAGGGAATGAAGCAGTGGTTAGACTCTTATGCTGGGAAAAAAAAATGCATAAAAGCGCTTTTAGCACCACAACAAACATGCTAACAGCTTCTCATAATGACTAATGGAGTTTCTGACATCACATCCTCTGTCATTTCGCCACATGCTGTTTCATGTTTAAGCCAAGAAGAGGGCTTCCAAATGTAATGATAAGGTAGGTAGCTGCTGGGAGGAAGTGAGAGGAAGTCATGAAATTTTCTTAAAGATAATTATTAGAGCTGCGCTTCAAATATGATCTTCACTGTTGCATAGCAACACTTGGAAATACATGTTTGTGTTTCCCGAAGCAGTTACTGAATAAGAAACTCAGGCTGTGCAGGTCAACTGTGATATGTTTGCAAATAAAGAAGGAATCCTGTTAGGTGTCGCATGTTCATGTGTGTAACTGTGGCACTTGAATAGAAGTTTTGAGCTTGGCTATCACATTGAGGAAAAAAAAAAAAAAAAAGATATTTACTTTGTCAGATATATTTCAGTGTGATCAAATATTTTTTCAATCCACTTGAGCTTTAAGAAGTGAGGAAAACACTCTGATCCTACCTTTGTGGTTGAATAGCCCCTCCATTTCCATGGAGGACCGGGAGTGTGCAATGCAGAGGATGGAGCAGGGAACGATTCCCTCCTGAGCAGGGGAGCGGTCCGTGGTCCTGACCAAGCACCAGTCTGGTTTGTCATGAAGTCGCTCCAGAACCTCCACGGTCTGGCCTCGGCGTACGGTAAGCTCCCCATTGCTGCTGCCGTTACTGGCCACAAAGTCGTGGATCACCACCGTCAGTTCGCAGCCACCAGAGAGCTGTGATGGAAGTAGCAAATGATGTCTGATTAATATTTCAGATGCAGAGAAATGGGGCTGGTGAGAGGAATCTGTTGATTTGTAGCTTAATTGTCCTTGACCTGTTTTGTTGCTCCCTGAAAGCACCGTACATTGGTACAGCCAGGTCGTGCTAATACCAACACTCTTCAGAGTGGACACTCGGAATATTCACTGTAGTATCATTATGATGTTTAAGATGGAATCAGAGAAAACAGAGGTGTAAGCAGCGATTTTATTGGAAATTGTATTTTCTATGAAATGTTGAGACATTTTTACGGGTCATTCAGGCTGCGTGAGAGCGAGACATTCAGCAGATAACAGCAAGGCTGGACTAGCTACAGAAAAGTGGCTCTGTTTTATCTTTTTCGTGCTTTCAGCCTAAGTACTTATGGAACAAGTCGTATTTGGGATCTTTTTTCATCCATTTAAAAAGCCAACAGATTACAATTTTCCTAAAGAATAAACGCAGGGTTGTGACTTGAGCTGCGCTAATCTTACTAATCTTTGATATGAAATCAAAAGGTTTAAAATGCCGACTCTGTGCATGGTCTTGTCTCGTTTTTAAAAGAAACCCTGTCTTATGTTGACTGCTCTCAGCAGCAAAGCTAGGAAGCCTATTGTGAATGCAGAAGTCTTTAAAATCAGAACCAGCAGGTCTGAGTTTTACAAAACACAGATTGAAAATCTGCCACAAAATTCTGATCAATGCATTTGTAAAACATTTTTTATTTGTTGACTGTTAACATGGCTGCATAACATGCGTGGAAATATTTAGGATCAAAATAGTAAACATGAGTGAATTATAACACTAGGGTAGCCTAATGTTGTTTTAGTCAACGTTTCATCTTACAAAATATTATACAAATTCAGACCCAACATAAATTTGAGGGTTTTTTTGTGTCATATTTAAGCATCTTTTTAGTACAAATGTAATGTACTGAATCTGTAATCAATAAATCTGCTGTGACAATTATTTTACTAATATGTAGACTAATATGGTGCTATACATATATCAATATGTATAGCAAAAGTGAGAGCAACAAAGTGAAAAAATTACACGCAGTAATGACGACAGACCTAATTTAGCTAAACAGAAAAAAAAAACACACTATCACACAATCTGACTTTAAATTAGGCTGTTTGTTGCTTTTAACGCTTTGATGTAAAATGACAGGTAGAGAAAATGTCATTATATGAAAAATAAATCTTCATATGACAATGCAGAAAAAAAGGACGATAGTTATTAGAGGTTACTATCAATGTTAGTATTATTTAAACAAATTCAATTAAAGAAGTGCATACACTATAGTCATGAGCTCCATTGCCAAATCATCCATGAAGGAAAAAGTCCATATTTACAACATACCCTCTGATAGTGTGGCAGAGCCAGAGAGCTGAGGAGCTGAGAGACAGGATTAGAGATCTTCTCTTCCAGTTTGTCAATTGTCTTCCACTCCCTCATCATGAAAGATGGTCAGAAAAGCAAAACAAGTTCTGGAGCGCTGACTGATTTTCAGCAGGGATCTCTAAAATGTTCCTCAATCACACTCAGAAGATGGTTACTCGACAAGGAGCTGTCACCCAAAGTAAGGTCCCGCTCATTTTCTGAAATGTTGGTTTGGAAGCTACGTGGAATATGTTTGAAGCTCTGGTCAAAGTTGAAAAATGATCCACAAGCTCTTCTTTGAAGTCCTCACTTTTAGACTACCGACGCTTAGATGATTTCCTCAGGAAGATCTTCTCTCGGCAGCAGAGCAATTTAATCCATCCTTCCTCTAACAAATGCTTCCAAAAAAATAAAAATAAAATTGACCTGGCTAAGGCCCCCACTTCATCACTAGCAAAAACAGACTCCAGAAAAGCAGAGAGGAAGAAAACTGCCCAAATTTTAGAGAGACGTCTGTGATCGATTAATGTGACGGGATAATGCCGTGCTCTCCTGTCTGGCAAGAAGACGAGCATCCTCTGTGAAAAGAGAGTGGGAGGCTGAAGCTGCTGACACACAAGTCAGTCACTTCAACAGAAAAACACACCGGAACAGGAGCGCGCGCGCACACACACACACTCCCCACCGCCCGCTACCCCACGCCAGAAGCACAAGCATGCCACTGTCACTGCCTCCTGAAAGAAATGTCTCATCTGAGTACCCGCAGAAAGACGGGGCACACAGAGACGCATTCAAAAAGTGGGAATGGGACGCCCATTCAAATGTGCACGTGTTCCTCTGTGTTCTTGGATCTTTATGCAAGTGAGCATGCTCCGAACTGAGGGGACAATTCTTAATTAATTAGCTTCTTTGATGATTTTGACGGGAGCGGGCAGATGCACAAGCAGACATGGACTTGTTCACCTCCCATCTAAAACAGTCCTGTGTTGCATAAAGCAGCTGCACAAGTCGAGATTAGCGCTACTCTAGCAGAAGCTGTGAAAGCTGAACATTATAATTTTCTTATTCTCCTGATTGCCGGTGAAAGCCCGGTGAGGGCCGATCTGGGGTAAATCCAAGTCAAGTGTGAAAATAATGACCCGATCCACTCCTCGGATTTATAATTAATACAACACGAAGGCAGAGGAAGGATTTTATTTCTTTATTTTTATATCCGACTGTGCTGGGTGTTAGCTTTACAATTGATCATACTGAGCGTAGGAGGATAAGCCTTCTGTGGTGTGATTGCCACATATAACCAAAGCTGATCGTTACTGTTCCCAGAGAGCAAGGATTTTCTCTCTCTACCACACACACACACACACACACACACACACACACACACACACACACACACACACACACACACACTGTATTATAGCTCTGTCAGATGGGCCGTTTCTTTCACTCAACACAATCAAACACTTTCACAGGAAGTGATTTCCAGACAGTTGCAGTTTCTGACGGAAATGTGTGACGGTACTCATCCTGACCAATCACAGAACGGCTACTTATTGACAAACAGAAATAGCTTTGTGTCTTGTGACACAGGTAGATACTTAAAACTGTATAAGCAATGCCCAGTTTAGGTGCTACCTGGCAGATATAAAGTTGAAGAATTGTGTGTGTGAGTGTGTCCAACCTTGTCACTGTCCAGTGTGTTCTGGGATGTCCGGGAGGCGATAGAGATGGTATCTGGTTGGCTGCTAGCATCTCCCTGGCTGTCTAGATCCTCTCCATCCCTTCAGAAAGACAAAAACATTGAATGGTATTCATAACATTGAATCTCGCTTTGATACAGCGCAAAAGTATTCACGTCGCCTGAAAGCTTTGCATTTTATCACATCTTTGCCACAAACTTCATTGTGTTTATTGGTACTTCCTGTCGTAGACCAACAGTTAGTGCATTATTGTCAAGTAGAGGAACATAGTTGATCATTTTCGAACCTTGTCATAAGTGAAAAATCCCAAATGTGTGTCAGATGTTTTTATTCGGCTGTACTGAGTCAATAATGTGTAAAACTACCTTTGCACTGCAATTTGACCAGACAGTTTGTGCACCTTCTTCAAAATTGGTGCCAATTCTATGTTTTGCTTAATCACACAAAATCGTCAAAAATGAAGTTGGTGGCTGTAACATGACAAAATAAGTACAAGTGTACGGATTTTCAATGGCAGCTTTTACTTTCTACACCTGCTGTGTTTTGTAATCCTGAGCATATAACTATTTTATATCTGGCCATATGTCTTTCAAGCCTGGTCAGTATTATCTTTGCTTACCGCCTGCCTTTGTGTTTAGCAGTAGTGGCTTTAGGGATGTGAATGGGCTCCTTCAGAGCTCCACGCAGGAGGACAGTTCTCTCCTGGATTACTTCCCTGATGTGCTTGATCCAGTCCTGCTTGTTCTCTATACTTGATGCCTGCAGGAAAGAAAAAAATAAATAAATAAAAATCACATGAACGGTTCAGACAAAGCATATGAAAAACTCTTGAGTACTTTGAAAAAGGCAGAACATCAGATTTTGTTCCTCAACGAAGGAACGAGAGCAGGTAGATGTTTTTCACAGAGTGTAGATGTTGACTCATGGCATTGTGTAAGCATGTAGAGAGCGCAGAATGACGTCTGTTGTCAAAATTATTGTTCCATCTGATCCCACGATCTGTTTGATCTTATTTAATCTTGAGTCACTATTCCATAATCAATAGAGTCCTTTTCTATTTCACTAAGCAAACAGCTACAGTGCTTGCTGTAGTGGTGTGTTATATAAGACGCTGTTTAAATTGGTGTTTTATACTTTGTGTTGAGTTAGCTGCAGCTACAGTACTGCACAAAAGCTTTGGAGTGCCACCTACTGCCATGCAGGCCAACCTCGGGGCTCCTATTAAGAGAGGAAAAATTCCAAAACTTAACCCTTTTTAAAACCTTTTGACTCGTTATATCCTCTCTTATGCCCGGATTCAGAAAATGCTGTGGGCAAACACACAGAGATAACAGCGTCACAATAATCAGCATTTATTCAAGACAGATGCATACTATCACCAGAAAAGCACATCACAAAACATCAGAAACCTCAGTGCACAAACAACACATGAATTTACCTGAGAGGGAAAAAGACAAAAGATGGAAACGACAAACAAAAAGCAAAGACGTCTTTGAAGAAATTGCAAAGAGCAAAATCTGATTTGTTACTCCTGTGTACAAACCTTTATAGTAAAGGCGTATTCTTGTCTTTAATTTATTCAAATAAGGCGTATCTTTGCTCATACAACCAGGAGCTGTCTCGGACCGTCTTTAAGTTAGAAACTCTCTGCAATTTGTTTTCAAGATCAAACACCAGTTGTCACCTTTATCTAAACAAAGTGGAAGCAGAGCTTCTCCTCTACTGGCCTGAACTCCTGCTGTTTTATGGCTTTTCACAGATCAGTGTGAAAGCTGGAACTTCTCCTGGTTGCTTCCCACACAGACAAAGGGCAGTTCAAAAAGATCTTAACAAACCATCTGCTGTAACTACAGGTAAGACAAAGGTCAATAGGGCAGAATAAGTTATTAATCTCAAATTATAATTAGGCTATTTCAATCAAGCCATGTTAAGTTTTAAAACTAGCATATTTTAAATTTATTTTCTTAACACTCCCTAACCTCCTTCTACGCACACGACAATCAGAAGTGCAATTTCATATAAAATCTTTCAGACTACACCTTCAACTTTGAGTGATGTAACGAAGGAAATTGCAGAACACTACTCTGTCATACCTTGAGGACAATCTTGTTGTCTGAGGTTGGCGTCCTGCCCAGCCACAAGGCAAACTTACAAGGATCCCCCTCCACATGTTCTGTCACTCCAAGCTCTGATGTCTGTAGAAAAAAAAAGAAAAAGCACAACAGGAATTACACAACAAGAGAACAAGTCTTGTTGACTTACACAGCACATGTCCTAAGGATTTACACTAGCAAATTAAGGGTCTTCTTACAAAGAGCTTGCTCTTGTAGAGGTATTTACTGCGGCCGTTCGAGTCTTTCACTTCCTTGCTGAAGACCAGGGACATCTCAAAGAGAAACAGATGTCTGTCACGGCCTTTCCGGATGAGAGTCTTGGGATCCCACACCTGGAAGGACTCCTGGAGAATCAGCTCCCCCTGGGAGTCTATGTTCCCGTCAAACCCTGAGAAACCAGAAGATGGAACTGAGCCAGTGATCTATTGAGCTGTGCTAGTATTTGGACACAGCATGCGGTACTCTACAAACTTTTTCACGTCTTGTTGCGATACATCTGCAAACATCAAAGTGTTTTATGGGGATTTTATGTGACAGATTAAGACATGGGACACTTACGAGGAAATTTTGGGGCTAAGGGCTAAAATTTTAATAAATACAAGTTTGTTTTTCTTTGTTTATTTTCCACTTCACTACTTTGCGTCGGTCTATCATAAAATCCTAAAAAACACATTAAAGATTGTGGCTATAACATGAAGAAATAGGACAAAGGTTACAAGGTAACATTCAGTTGAATGACATTGGTGTTAGATTAAAAAAATAATAATCTCAAGGCAGAATAATCACCAGATGCAATAGATCAGAATGGGAATCTTTTTTTTGGTTTTGTTTTCTGAATAAAACTGTAACAGTGTAGTGGAAGTGCATGTGCGTATGTGTGCGTGTGTGTGATGTCTGGTTCTACATGCCTTCCAGCATAGAGAGGTGCATGGCATCATTGGCTTTCTTTGGAACACTGAGCATCACTTCCAGGCCATCCTTGATTTCACCTTTCCCCTCTTCACAGCATGTCAACAACTCCTTCAGTGGAAGAACATCCATATGTACATGTTTCAGAAACCATGCTACGAAATCCAAAATAATTTGAAGCGTGAATCTGTTTCCACTCCTTTTTTCTAGGTCTAACATTTCCACTTCCAAACATAAAAAAAATTGCAGGTGACTAATCATGTCGCCGAAATTCATTTGAAACTTGCTCTACCTTTAGAAGTAATTGGTATTTTGTGATTCGTTGAACGGGCTTGATGAGGTAAGAAGAGATGGAGTTAGCAAGGCGATGTCTTTGTTGAATTTCCTGTGGATCAAAATAGAAACATGTCTTAAACTAAGCAAGATATATATATATATATTTTTTTTATTTCATGGTTTAAAGCAAGTAAGTCAGAATTTCTGACAATTTAAAGATTTACTTACATCAAAGTAGGGTCCAGCATGTTCCAGGATGAGCTGAGTGGAGTCAGGTTTGTTCTTGCAGTAGTTCACATACATCTGGAATTTGTCAGCCTGAGTAGGAGATTTCATAAATGTGTTATAATCAAGATACGAACCCTAATTTTAAAACTAAACACCTGTTAAAACAGCAATTTCTCCCTCAAATATTCTATAATTTGAGGGAGAAATTGAAATTGAGAGAGCAATTACCGACCTAACCAAAGTAATATGACCACAGTTTTATTTTAAAAAATGTGTTCAAATTTAAAATTTATAGTGTTGTAAAATCATTATCATAACTACTTGAAATAAAAACACAGCAAACACAGATGCTCACTTACCCAGGTCACAAAACAATGGCCGACATCCTCTGGAAGCTGCTCATACTTCTCCAGCTCCTTCAAGAAGATACTGTTTGGAGAGGAAAAAATATTCAGACATAGATTATTAATCACCTTGCCTCTGTGAAATACCTGTCCACCTGAAATGCAAATACTATTTCTACACATTGTCGCAGATTGCTGCTAAACTGACTTGTGATGAAATTCGTAGAGGTCCTGCATGTTCCCAAAGATGATGTGTTCCTTGTTGACGATGCCAGGAGGAATCTCCTCGACACCACTGGTCATTTCCCACAGGTAAGTCTGCACAAATGCAACCATATGAAAACAGTTGCTTACATAAATTTAATCAATTTAATTACTGAAACGTTAATGAACACATGTACAATTTAAGAGTGACAAATCAAGACAATAGGATTAATTAGAAAAAGCATCTGAGGCAATACTCACATCCATACATTCACGTAGGTCTCTGACATATGCTTTCTCTGTTTGGATCAGCTCAGCCATTATAAATCTGGAAGAGCGAAAAGGACTCAATATGATAGTAAAATTTGTCAAATATACATAAAAAATTTTTTTTTAAGTTTGCTGCAGGTAAAACTAAATAACAAATGGAAGGAAATGAAACAAACCAGAATAACACAAATCATTTTTAGTTAATTGTAATCTTTGAATGTGCAATGTGAACGTAACATGCAGCCAAACGCTGCACATTTTGCTTAACATGTATTTCAAAAAACATAAACAATTAGTTATTTGATTGTTACATTATGATGACCTGCTTTACATTTCAAAGCAGCTATTTCACTCTGCTGTTTTGAATCCATGGTTAAGAGCATGGAAATATCAATAAATTACTTTATTGATATTATTTATTTTTCATAGTTTTTTTTGGTCATGTCTTTAAGCGTTTTGTGTTTTTAATCTCAAATACAATATTGGTTTCTGGATTTAGCATGGCTACTGGATTACACTCCCTGCCTGTAATTTTATTCAGACATTATGTTTTTTTAACTCCAGCTGAGAGCAGTACAATGTTGATTTCCCATATTTTTTGCATACAGCTGGCATATAAATAACATACTTGCACCTGAGGGGAAAATCTGCCATTATTAGATCGAAGCAATATCCTTGATGCACTTTTGGGACGTTATTGTAAAGTGTGTAATTGGCGATGGTAGAAAGCAGGCTTCTTGGTGGACGGATTCCTCTGAAGGTCCCATTAATCATTTACAAATGCCTTGGAAATTAAATGCAACATGAATATGATTTGAGAAATATTTACAAATCACTGATTAATCTGTGTTTCCACTCACTGAAAGCTCATATGAACATTTCCGTGTTAATTCTGAAGTCTTTAGGGCAGTGGTCCCCAACCCTTTTATTACCGCACGGACCGGTCACAACTGAACTTTTGCTGCGGCCCGGGGGCGGGAGTAGGGTTGCAGAGGTCGCGCTAGACTTTTTTGTTTTTCGTCATTTTGACCGACAGGATTTTTTAAAAAAATCGTTACTTTTACCCGTCAAATTATAATCACGTTAATATCGGTTATTTAGCCGCACTTTTATGCGGTTTAGTTAATATTCACCCAGTTGAACGTGAATCCAGATCCCATCACACATTAAGCAGATAAATGCATCTAACG